GGGGGGGGGGGGGGGGGGGGGGGGGGGGCTATGACACCCTGAAGTACACTTAGCAAAGCTCTTTATCAATGTGAAACAGTTTCTAATACCAAGTACAATGGGTATGACAATATGGACAGGGAAGCATTAAAATACAATTTCTTGTCTTCTTTCCAACAAGAGTTTAAGGAGGGCAAGAAAGAATAGAATTTGAGAAGATGGAGTAGCTTACTTTGCAATTAGAGATGCCGAAAGGTAAGACAGTCTTCATTCAATTTGGAAAGAAATGTAATTTCTTAATCCAATACTGATTGCATTCAAAACTTTGAAGGCTTCCCAGGCCATTAATGCGAGTAGTGATGATTATATTAACAGTTGCCATATACAATATGGTATTCTCATTGTTTTTTGTTTGTTAAATTACACTGGTTTCTCTTGATTTAGGATTTTTCCCCCTTTTCTCATTTTCAATTAAGAGTTTTAGAAAACCTTCATTCTTAGACCATGTCGTGTCTCTTACTAATATATAGAATTATAATCATCCCAAGATTCAATATTTTGGAGCTTATGCTTATCATATATTTTGTAACCATAATTCATAAGATTTTCAATAAAACCATGCTTATAGCTTTTCAGTTAATTCAAAATTTACTTATAGAGCCAATCTTTGAAATTTTTTAAATGGAATTCCTCTAAGAAACTAATATTTGACATGGAGATGTTTTCACCCTCTCATCTATAGGGAACCTAAGTAAGTATACCCGCTGGAATAAGCAAATTTGCACATATGAAAGAATGAATACTCACCAGAAATGGAGTCGTGTACGCTGAAAGGGAAGCCATGATTTCCATTCGTGTTTCGCAAGTCGGGGATTCCATTCCATGCAACTTTCCACACAATCGTGTTGAAATGATCTAAACATTGATGGCTTTTACTTTAGACTTAATATCAAAGAGAACTTTGGATGGTCGTAGACCATACTTTATCATGTTAGTACATAGAATTTGAGCCTCTTCCCACTTCTTATCATCACAAAGTACTTGGATTGTCATGTTATAGCTAGCCTCATTAGGTATTATACGTTTTTCACACATTTCTTGGACGAGCTTCAGGGCTTTGTAAGAGCTACCCTCTTTGCAGTATCCAGAGATCATAGTATTGTATATTACATCATTGGGTTGAACACTGGTTTTGTCCATTGATGTGAATAACTTGGACGCTTCCTTCATATTGCCTTGATAACACCAGCCGTTTATCAAGACACCATAAGTGCAAACGTCTGGTGCCAAATTAGCCTTCTTCATACAGGAAAGAAACTGAAGTGCTTTTTCCATGTCAGAAGATCGAGCAAAGGCATCAATCAGAATGGTATATGTCACCTGTGATGGAGAAATGCCTCTCTCCTCCATCTCGCGAACTAAGTCTAAAACTCGTGATAGATTCTCTGTTCTCGAAAATCCCGCAATTAAGACATTGTACGTGGTCAATGAAGGTGTTAAACCAAATGACTTCAACTGATTAAAAAAACTCAAAGCTTTATTTAACTTCCCAGCATGACAGTACCCATTAATCAATGTGGTGTAAGTAACTATGGTCGGGTTCAATCCATCCTGTTTTATCCGAACTAGGAATTTCTCTGCATCGCCCATCCTCTTTTCTCCGCATAATCCCCAAATCAAAGTGTTGTATGTCACAACATTACATGCCACTCCTCTCTCACGCATTTCATCGAACAGTTCATAAGCTTTGGTCATCTTTCCATCCTTGCAATACTCATATATAATAGAATTGTAAGTATACAAGTCAGGCAAAGCCCCATCAAGCTTCATCTTCTCATAGAGCTCGAATCCATCTCTTTTAAGTCCTTTCTTAAAGAACCCATTTATCAAAACAGTGTAAGTGTACTGATTAGCAACCAAGCCCAGCTCTTCCATTTTACAGAACAATTCCTTTGCTTTTTCAACTTCACCACTCTTACAACACCCATCAATCAATGTAGTATACACAACAACATTGGGACTATAACCCATGCTAGACATTTGGTCCAAAACCTGAAAACCTCTCATCAGATCACCAGTATCACGACAACCCTTCATCAAAATCCCAAAAGTGTGCGCATCCGTAACAATTATCCCCTTATATCTATCAAATACACACCAAGCTTTCTCGAATTTATTCCTCTTCACAAGAAAATTCAGTACATTATTCAGTATAGCCGACTGGGGCACAAACCCTTTATCAACCATTTGATCAAAATAAAAAAGAGCTTGCTCCGGTTGCAACTGAGAATTAACATGAGCATTAATAATCACTTCATAAACAAGCGGACAATTGAAATTCCTAGTGTCTTGAGTTAAATGGCTAAGAAGAGAAGAAAGCGTAAATAATGGGGATGTGAGGCCACCGCAAAGTACTCGTTGGATGAGAGACTGAGCGTAAGAGGGCATGTCAAAGGAGAGAAAGTGGTGAATAATCACCGTTATGGATTGTTGAGTGTGATAGAGGCCTTGCTGGGTTGAGGAATTGAAGAGTGAAAGTGCTTCCAGAGGCGGGATTTTCAGCATTTTGGAAAGGAGAGTTACGGCTTGAAGTTGGCTTTGTGTCATTTTGACTTTTGCTCGATTCTTGGGATCGTAGTGGCAGAACTTTTTCGTCAAGTCTCCATGGCCGGCGAGGAGATTTTAAATATCTGAATAAAGCCCGGGCTGCAGAAG